TCAGTAGTGCTTGAATAAGTACATTTTAAAACGCTTTATCTGCTTACTAATTTGAACTCTGAGGAAAAGTTGCAGTAAGGATAGTGTGCCTCTTTCAGTTTACTACAAGGTCCAGTTGTTGGTGATGAAATGAAATGTATGCAACTTAATTAGCCGAAATATTTCTCTTTTTTCAGATTTTTATCATCTTTTTCATATTCCTTATATATTCTACTAGCTTGTTTTATTCGCCCCATAAGAAATAATCTACAATTATAAACTGCTAAATTACCACTTTATCACTGCCTCAATTTTCCCTCTCTCCTAATGCAAAAGATCTTCATGCCATTGTTTGGTCTCGTACTAAAATGCACATCAAAAATTTACCTTGCTTTCTTCGTGGGGTCTAGCCCATTTGATTGTTTTTTGGCGATAAGATGGAGAGAAATTTGCCTACTTACATTGGTACATTTCCGTATTGCCCGTTTCTTGCAACTGTTTCAGGCATTTGTTTTACTGATTATCAAAAACGGGCGCAAAACGATGATTTGGTATCGGGTAATAAAGCTGCAGGTAGTTTTTCAGCAAATTATTATATCTACCTCAGCCAACCTTAGTGTGGCTGCATTTTAAGCAACGTCGATTGTACCATATGCTCACACACCGAGTAATTATAGTGGCTAAGTGAAAAAATTACTAAGGTTGGCAGACACCGTGTTAATGTGCACAAATTTTGTAAGCACTGTACCAAGTTAAACTCGACCATGAGTCCCAGGAATAGCGATTGTATAGTGTTGAAAAAAAAAAGTTTCCGAAGAGACGAAGCATAGACGTGAATGGAGATACTAATTTGAGGTGTGTGTGCCGCTCAGAATCAGAGGGCCTGGCATAGCTGTGCCGGACGTATTGGAGAAAACCAGCAAAATCACTAATACAGAATTCCCACACCGTTTTTCCAGGGGTCCTAGCCTTCTTGGTATTTAACTACGAAAGATGCTTTTTTTCGCATCTGTATTTGTATTTCTACTTTTGCAGTTATTTTTTTTTCATTTATTTATTCATTTAATTAAATTAAAATTTTGGCAATTTGCACATACCACGTCAGATCTCAAAAACGCTTCACGTACCTAATTCATAGTTGAGAGCTTCCAGTTATATGGGCAATACCAGAACCCTCAATCGATTGTCTTAATATAAAAAATTTTGACAATTTACCTAGATAATACAGAAATGTAGAGCAACTGCATTCAGGGTCTGAAAGGCGTGCATTCTGCCTATGCCTTCTCAACCTCACGTGCTGCTCTCGCATCAACCGCAGAAACCGTTAAAATGTGGATTGATGGAAAACGCGTTGAATCAAAACCATCGCATTGGACTGAGCTCACCAATTCGGTAATGATTATGGTTCCGCAATTTGCCATAGAGGAATGGTCATGATTCTGTGAGAATAATCACGCTGGCAAAGCCACATCATGATTACTCTTTT